GGGGGGGGGGGGGGGGGGGGGGGGGGGGGGGGGGGGGGGGGGGGGGGGGGGGGGGGGTGTGTGTGTGTGTGTGTGTGTGTGTGTGTGTGTGTGTGTGTGTGTGTGTGTGTGTGTGTTTGCGTGTGTGTGTGTGTTTCCCCTCCTGATGGACCCGGGTCGACATCCTGGCTAGAACGCGCTCCAAGACGGGCCCAGGATCGCAGGATCGACTCTGAGGCAGCAGGAAGTGCAGCAGGACGACGACACCCGATGCCGACGAAGACGAGGGCGGGGAGGAGGGGGAGCATCTTCTACGTACGGTCACTCAAACGCGAAGTTGGGCGACGCCCTCGCGCCAACACTGGGCGAGTGGAATTGCCTGGTGCCGCCAGGCTGGCCCAGGCTGGAATCCGTGAGAGCACAGGAAGCCCGAAGGCAAGGCAGCAGCGAGGCCCACAAAGGCCCTCCTGCAGAGTTCAGATGCTCCTGCCCCCCTAATCGCTGCGCGATCTGGGTGCTCGATGTGGGGGCTGAAAGAAGGTAGGATAGGCGCGCCAAGAGATGGGGGCGGGTCAGCTGGGGACGATTCCGAGCAGCAGATGTCGCCGAAAAGCCGACCACCGCCGCTGTTGGAAGGGAGCCGCTCGCCCCGAAGGGGCAACGTCCGCGGCGATACCAGCAGCGAATCCTGCTCTTTTCGTCCCCATCGCTCATGGGGGCACGATAGTGAGGGACTGGCTCCAGGGGGGCCACGCATTGCCGTGGATCCGGCGATACTTCGACGATAGGTCGGCGATAGCCGATAGGCCTCCGATACTCCAGATTTCGTAATAAAAAAAGGGAGGGGGTCTGGACCCTCCAAGACAAGCCATTTCAGACCTCCCCCGTGGGAGAACCCTCCAAAACATCGTCCCCAGACCCCCCAGGCCCTCCAAGATAGCCTGGAAGAGACCCCCCCCGAAATGAGACCCCCCTCCCTTTATTACAAAATCTGGAGTACCGAAACAACATGTTCCAGAGCGGACCGGGACACCCCGCCACCGATTGGCGACGAGTGGGCGATCGGGGGTCGATGGTTGCCCCCCATGGGCCGGTACCTCCCCAGGTCGGCGCGCCCGAACCTCGGGTTTTTTTCCAGGTCAGAAGAGGAGGAAGGGCCGAACGAGGAGGCGGAGCAGTGCCCGCCAGATCACTGTGAGGGCGTGCAAGAAGGGGGGAGGACTTCTCCCTGGGGACAAACATAAGCCCCCGTGGCGGTATCGTCATCACCAGCGATAGAATTTCTGTTTAAGTACACTCGAATTAAACCTTTGCTCGGCGGCGCCCTCACGGCGTCAGTGAAACGAGGAGCATCGAAACACCAGGAGAATACCACTGAGAGATCAATCGCCTCTGAGCGCCCGGCGAGGGAATCTCCTGGGATCCACAGTTGCTCCTCCTGCCCGCCCAAGAGGATCTTGGCTTGCGGGCCTTTTTGCGGGGGAGATCGCTGCCGCCCCAGCCCCCGGTGGCTGAAGCGTTCTGACTTCCTCTGGAGGGGGGAAGAGGAGTCAGGGGGATCCACTGATTCCTTCCTCCGGTTACGAGCTCTCCAAATTGCTGCTTTTCAGTCGGTGTCCACGGTTTCGCTCGTGACTTGACCGCCCACGTCGGCATCGTGGTGTCAAACACCTGGTTCCACACACGCAGTGCAGACGGAAGGAGGACGGGCAGGTGGGCCACGGGCGGATCAAACGAACAAAGCACGCCTCTACGTGTGTTACAGCATCTAAAGAGCGTGGAACAAGGGGGCTTGCAAATCATGGCCTGAGGCATGTGCGCCGACGAGGGGGGGGCGCAAGGGAACGCTCTCAAAACAAAAACAAGGGGCAATGCACTCTTGGAGATGTCAGGGACCTGGCCACGATGTCCACACACCCTTGACCCTCCCCCCCCTCTCGGCGGAGGAGGAGGAGGAGGAGGAGGAGGAGGAGGAGGAGAAGGCGGAGGAGGAGGAGGCGGAGGCGGAGGAGAGGGAGGAGGAGGAGAAGGGACCAATGCCCGCCAAATCACTCGCACCACGCGCGCGGGCTGACGCGCGCGGGTCGGGATCCGGGCCGGCCGGCCGAGGCGGCGGCCGAGGGCGCCGAGGTCTGCGTTGACAGGCTGAGGGAAGCAACGTCTTGAGCCAGACTGGCAGGCTGACTGGCGCGCAAGGGCGGCGACCCTTCCGGCCCCGCTCCAGCGCGGCCCGCAGCACAACTCTTCGACCCTGAGGCCCGAAGAACTCTGCGCCGCAACACTTCTGGGTCGAGCGGAGCGACGACGCCGCGGGACACGCAACCGCGGCACGGTGCCTAGAGCATTCGGGGGTCGAGACCCTCTGACCCCATCTAACCCCATCTACTCGTACCCTATCTAGGATGGACCCTCTGACCCCATCTACTCGGACCCTATCTAGGAGGCCTAGAGCATTCGGGGGTCTTCTGACCCGGGTCAATCCAAACCCGGGTCGGTCAGTCCTTGCAGAATCCTGCAAGATCCTGCAAGACAATGCACCCAAACCAAGGTCAGTGCGAATGACCCTGCAAGATCCTGCGGGATCCTGCACCGACACCCGGGTCTTTGCGACCCTGGCCCCGCAGGATCCTGCAAGATCGGGGCGCTCCGGCGGACCCCCGCCTCGAGGCTCCCAGCGCAGGAGCTCCCAGCGCTTCCGGGGTCTGCCGCGTGAGCCCCCAATGGGCCAACAGAGCCAGACCATGCCCTCGGGAGCGGCCAAGGAGGGGGGTGTCATAGAGAGGGGGGGGCCAGTCATGACGGGCGGCATATGTGCGCGGCCCAGCGGGGGGGGCCAGGGACGGAAGGCAGTAAGAAGAGTGACTACCTACCAGACCACCCCAACCCAACCCGAAGACCCGAATTTCGGGTTGGGGGGGGTAAGGGTTCCACGCGCGTTTTTTTATGTTTCCCGACCCCCCCCCCAACTAGAATTCGAGGGTAAATCTGAGCCTTCGGGTTGGGTTGGGTTTGTTTGGTGGGTGGTGAAAGAGGCGCCGTGGAATCTGGGGAAACATCATGGCCCCGGCCATGATATCCCCCCCCCCTAGTCATCACCCCCCTCTTTGCCGCCCCCGACGTGCACGGCGGGCTCGAGCAGACCTGGGCCTCCCCCGGAACTCCAGCGCCGCTATATATGATCCCGGGCTCCGGGCCCACGGCCCCCCCCCCTCCCCCCCAGATGGTATGGTCCCAGGATTCCTCGGGCCCCCCCTCCTCCAGGTGGTATGGTCCCAGAGACGACGACGACAACGACGACGACGACGACGGCGACGACTACGACGACGGCGACGACGACGACCACGACGACGACGACGACGACAGCGGCGACGACGCCGGCGGCGGCGGCGGCGACGACGACGATGACGACGATGACGACGGCGACGACGACGACAACGACAACGACGACGAGGACGGCGAGGACGACGACGACGACCTCTGAACCACCACGGCACCACACCACATCCACAGGGGGGGAGGGGGGCACCGCAGCGCAGCACCACGCCACGCCCACAGGGGGGGGCGGGGGGGACCATCGCGCGGGGAGGGGGGGGGGCCAATGGCATCAGCATTGGAGGGGAGGGGGGGGGGCCCAAGCCCTGGACCATATATGCCTTCGCGGCGTGGACCCCCAGACGACAGTCCTGCGGCGACTCTCGGGCGGGTGCGAATGGGGGGTGGCCCAAATGGGGGATGAAGAAAGCAATCCTAAAGATGCAACTTAGGGCCCCTTTTGGAGCCAGCGGGTTCCCGAAAGGGGCCCAGACGGGCCCCTGTCGGGCCTTCTTTTCTTCACCCCTCATTTGGGTCACCCCCCATGCGCACCCGCCCGAAGCTTACTGAAGCCTCCTATACCGTCTTCTTGGCCTTGGCGCATCGGCGCTACTCGACGCCACATCAACGCTCAACCGACGCTGATCCACGCGAGTCGACGCCAAACCAGCGCTATCCATCCCATCGTTTACCAGACGCTGAGCGACGCTCACGCACTCTAGAGACAGAATGGCGACGGCACGCAAAACACCATGATTTGCTTCGGGGATCTTCTGACCCGGGTTAATCCAGACCCGGGTCAATCAGGCCTTGCAGAATCCTGCAAGATTCTGCAGGATCCTGCACCCAAACTCGGGTCAGTACGAAGGATCCTGCAAGATCCTGCGGGATCCTGCACCCAAACCCGCCTGCAACATCGGGGCGCTCTGGCTGAC